CTCTTTCAAGTTTGGCATAGACATGGCTTTACTCAGTCATCCACTCAACAAATACACAGTAAGGGCCTAACTCTAAACTGGACACTGCACTGGGCATTGAGAAGATGGAGAGAAGGAAAGATAAGGTCACTATTCTAAGGGAGCTTTGTTTACAGAAGGCACAATTGCCTCATCACACAGAATTACAAATTCAGAAAAGTGCTAGGAAGGCAAAGTACAGGATGCTCTAAGAACACATACACATAATAGGGCCTGTAATCACAGTACTTTGGGAGGCTGAGGCGGGTGAATCACTTGAGGCCAGGAGTTCCAGACCAGCCTGGCCAACACGGCAAAACCCTGTCTCTATTAAAATACAAAAATGAGCCAGGCACAGTGGCGCATGCCTGTAATCCCAGCTACTCAAGAGGCTGAAGCATAAGAATCACTTGGGCCCAGGCAGCAGAGGATGCAGTGAGCCCCCAGCCTGGGTAACAGAGCAAGACTCTGCCTCAAAAAACAAAACAAAACAAAAAACCATGTAATAGAGGAAAACTGTTACACCATGGGGATTCAAAGCAAAATTTCCTGAGGAAGTGATGGTTAAGCTGAGATCTGAATGGAGGCCATTCGTATTTATGTAAAAACAGAGATCCATAAAATGAGAAGAGAGGATTGGTCCAATAAGCCCAGCTACCTTACCTTTGGCATCTTTTATCCTATATCCTAAAAACAACCTTTTTTTTTTTTTTTTTGAGACAGAGTCTAGCTCTGTCGCCCAGGCTGGAGTACAGCGGTATGATCTCGGCTCACTGCAACCTCCACCTCCCAGGTTCAAGCGATTTTCCCGCCTTGGCCTCCCGAGTAGCTGGGACTATAGGTGAGCACCACCACGCCCAGCTAATTTTGTATTTTTAGTAAAGACGGGGTTTTACCATGTTGGCCAGGCTGGTCTCAAACTCCTGATCTCAGGTGACCTACCCGCCTCGGCCTCCCAAAGTGCTGAGATTACAGGCGTGAGCCACGGTGCGCAGCCCCGCTCCCCCTTTTTGTTGTTTTAAAAACAGGGTCTCATTCTGTTGCCCAGGTTGGGGTGCAGTGGCACAATTATAGCTCACTGTAACCTTAACTCTTGGGCTCAAGAGCCCTCCTCAGCTTCCCAAGTAGCTGTGACTACAGGCACATACCACCATGCCCAGCTAATTTTTTTTTTTTTTTTTTTTTTTTTTTTGTAGACACAGGGTATTGATATGTTATCCAGGCTGGTCTCAAACTTCTGGGCTCAAGCGATCCTCCCACCTCAGCCTCCCAAAGTGCTGGGATTACAGGCGTGAGCCACTGCACCAGACCACAACTTCTTTTTTAAAAAAAGAAGAACAAAGTATGTAATAAAGATGTCTGAAAGCTAGTAATTGAAAGTCTTTTGGGGAGAGGGACAGGGTCTTATTTAGCTCTGAATACCTCACATCACCTTGCCTAGTATCGTTACTATCACAGTAGTCACTCAAATCTGGTGAAATGATTAGTGTCAGTATTAAATCAACGTTAATACTGTCTTTAGTTAAATAAATTTGCCAAACTACATCTCCTCACATAAGAAACCCCATTTTAAACTTCCTCAATTGTGAAAAGATGTTTTAATCTACCTCAAGAATTTAATAAAATAATACATGGCAAAATGCCGAGGTAGATTCTATAAGTTCTTGGAATATATGATATCCCTGTGATCAAAAAGCCGGATCAGTCTCTTCTAAGATAGTTTAGACTCAGCTGTGCTTCATTTTCCTTACTATGAGAAAAAATTCTAACAGGTTTGCATCCCCTCTCTGGCCTCGGTTCTCTGACGAGGGTGAAATAACAAACTCTAAAGTTCCTTCTAACTCCAGACACCTGTAAACCTTTTAAAAGGCTCAAGATTGCAACTCCTTAGCATGAATGTTAGACTACTTCCTCACCTACTCCATTTCCCCAGGACCCCATGTTTTTTCTCAGGAAAGGTAGCACGTAATTCATGATTTAAGTTCTTTAAAACACCTATTTTCTACTCATTTTACACGCAGACTTAAGTTGAATTTATACATCTAAATTAGATCTTCTAAATAATCCAAATAATTATTGTAGGCCGGGCGCGGTGGCTCAAGCCTGTAATCCCAGCACTTTGGGAGGCCGAGACGGGCGGATCACGAGGTCAGGAGATCGAGACCATCCTGGCTAACCCAGTGAAACCCCGTCTCTACTAAAAAATACAAAAAACTAGCCGGGCGAGGTGGCGGGCGCCTGTAGTCCCAGCTACTCGGGAGGCTGAGGCAGGAGAATGGCGTAAACCCGGGAGGCGGAGCTTGCAGTGAGCTGAGATCCGGCCACTGCACTCCAGCCTGGGCGACAGAGCGAGACTCCGTCTCAAAAAAAAAAACAGCCAACTGTGCTCTGGGTGTGGTGGGTCACATCTATAACCTCAGCACTTTAGCAGGCTGAGGTGGGAGGATCGCTTGAGGCCAGGAGTTCAAGACCAGCCTGGGCAACACGGCAAGACCTCCATCTCTAAAAAACATTTTTTTGTTTTTAATTAGCCAGGCATGGTGGTGCACACCTGTAGTTCCAGCCACTAGGAAGGCTGAAGTGAGAAGATCATCTGAGCCCAGGAGTTTGAGGCTGTAGTGAACTATAAGCATGCCACCGCACTCCAGCCTAGGCAACAGAATGAGATCCTGTCTCTAAAAACAAAAATAAAAACATGTTTAATGGCCATCGGTCAAAAATAGGTTTATAACTACTAACTCTAAAGAGTAAATCTTGGTTTTCCAATTAAGGAAAATTTATTTCCTATATTTTAAATCAGAAAATAGCCACAAAAAATCACTTACACTCAGAAGTAACAATAAATGCAAACTCATTAATGGAAAAAAAATTTTAAGTTACAATTAAAAGAGAGCAGAAACATCTGCAACATAATGCAAATGTATCTATGATACTACCACATGAAAATGAAATTTGACCCAAAAAAACGTTAAAACACTCAAATTATGCAGGTAAGGGCAATTTACGTATTTCAGATTTATCTTGTTTAAAATAATTTTTTGGTGTAGTTTTAAAAGCCTTGCCTCCTTTTACCCTTCAGAGAATAGCGTCCCACTAAAAGAGAACACTATTGTAAGGATCCTTTCAGGCAAGAAACTTTCTTTATGATGTAAACCAGGGCTACCAGATCCGGATAAGGTTTGCCATTAGGATGCTTCAGAAGTAATAACCTTCAAAGAAAAAAAATTTTAAAGTAATTCCTGCGTTAATAATTGCTAGTTAGTGAATTTAGTTTTTAAGCACATTGTATTTTTATATAAATTTTTAAAACTTAAAATTCTAAACTTAATTTCCAGAAACAAAATCAATCCTTTCACTCTGAACATCAACGTCAAGACGGCAGCTTCTTATTTGACAGTTACTTAGTATTTCTTTAACTATATTTTACATCTACTGAGTGTTTCAGAGCCTTAAAATTCATTACGATTATTATATTATTAGTTACAACGTGCACTGTAACATTCCCTTTTTAAAGAGGTGCAAATAGAAGTTAAATAACTTATCCAAGGTCACCCAACAAGTCAGTGACAAAGTTGGGAGTAGGAGTAAAACTTCAGCCCCTAGACTGAAGACTACTTCAAGCGTTTGCAATTCCAAAAGAGGGAAAAAAAAAAAAAAAAAAAAAAGGTCAAGCGATTTACCCTCAATAACTTCTAATAGTATACTCTAAATACAGTGGTACACTTATTATCATAAACACTAATAAAAAAGATTCACCGTGAATGAAAGAAACAACTTTGCTACATTTAGATACCACTGTCATTTCCCTAGCTCTTGTAACAAGCGAAAATCCTGCACTGGATCTGGCTATATGAAATCCTAGGGAATGTTCACTCTTCAATATGAACAATTTATTTTCATGCTAACATGCATTTGCGAATTAATCTTTTATCACCTTGTCCTATTTGGAGGTGCTGTGGGATGCATTTATTTCCTCACTCTTCCATAACATCAAGTCAAAGACTACAATCTCAAAACTAAGCAATTCTCAGTGAAAACACAGTTACATAGCCAATGAAAGAAAAGCTCTAATAAATGGCTGCTTTTAAAGAGATACTTTTAAAGGATGCTTATATGCTTCAGAGCATTACTGGTAACTCGCCCGCCAAGAAGGATGGTCCCTTTAAAGTAGCCTTTAAGGCATTATCCCTCCCCGTTTGGGACACAGTCTGACTTGTTGGACAAGACTAATCTGGGCACTCTCACACACAACCCCTCTGAACCAGCTTAGTTCATTGCAAACATCATTTCAACTGTAGTACTCAGCCCTTCGCATACTACAAGGGACAAGATGACTCTCCTTAACAGTCTTTCAGAACGTCCCCTCGGCGGACACTGACAGCCGACCTCCCGCGGATGTTTTTGGAAATAGAAATGTTAACACCAGGAGAGGCTCCTAGGAAGTGTCAGTGCGGCAGCAGGTGGAGTAGCCCTGCGTGCCGAGCAGGTTCTTTCTGACCTAGTCTCAGTCTCCGGCTTCCCGGCCCCAGTTCCGCCTTACAGAGATCTTGTTAAGCCGTCTTGCGCCCCTGTTCTCTAACCCAGGGCGAGACTTCCAACCCTCCAGGGAGGCGAGGCAATCGAAGCAGACAAGACGGCCACCCCATCTCTTCCGGGGACTCGCAGGCCCGCTCCCTGGCCATGTCAGAGCCTGATGGACCAGGCTGGAGGGGACGCAGCCGGCTCCCCTGGGAGCCTCCCAGCCAGAACCCCGCGTCCCACGGTTCCTTTCCACAGCCCCCACCCCTTCGAAATGCCACCGCCACCACCCTCCTTACTCCTGAATCCCCTCTCCTCAGGAGTACCCCAGTGGAGGGAGTTACCGGCCCACTCAAAAGTAAGAGCGACGGCCACCCCCTCGGTCACCCTGGCCCCACTGTCACCGCCCTGCTCCCGCCTCTGCCTACGCCGCTGGCTGACCCCGGTGACGCCCGGGTCGGTACCTTGCGGACCCCCTTGTAGATATAGAAGTAGAGCTCCCGGCCCACATTGAAGCAGAGGCGGTCGCCGTTGCCAGACTGGTCGTTGAGGTTTACGAAGGAGACGCGGACAGGGTTGGATCCCTGCGAGTTGAAGGGCACCCGGTTGGGCCGGCTGTACTCCGAGTGTGGCAGCAGCTTGTACAGACCTTCCCGGGTGGTGAATTGGGTCTTAATCTCGTTCATCTCCTTCCCTCCTCCCTCCGTCGCCATCTTGGAAAGCAGCGTTCATCCTGCCCTAAGTGCCCGGATCACGCCCACCGCGCAGGCGCTGTTCCCGGTGCTCCCTCTTCCCCCACCCCTTGCCTTTTCCTTGTCGCCCCTCCCATCCGCGGGCCAGCCCCGCGAAGGCGGGCCGAAGGGAAGGGGCGGGCTTGTTTACGGCCCGACTGCGCAGGCGTGCTCACCTGGCGTGCTCCACCCGGCTGGGCGTCCGCAGGCTCCTCCCCCGGGCGTGGCCTCCGGGCGGCCCGGCTGCTTCCCAGGTGATGTTGGTTCCAGCCGGTGGGGTCTAGTTGACGGTTCCGCAGCCACTAGGACCAACGGAAAGCCGATCATGGGGAACCGCGGCGGGGCTGGTGTCAGGAGCCTGAGGTGAACTTGAGGGTGCTTCCTCAGCGGTCTCCCCCCCTGCCCTGAGGGGCGCCGGGACCCCAAAGAGCGGAGGAAGAGCGCCACCCCGACTGCCACCGCTTCGGGGCCAGCACGCGGGGTACCCTACAGGGAGCGCGGATGCCCCTGTGTTCGGGCGGGGACGGCTCCACCCCTCCTGGGCCCTCCCTTCGGGACGGGGACTGTCCCGCCCAGAGAGAGTGCTGACTACCCGCGCGACCGTCTTGATCCCCGGTCAGGAAGCAAGCCCCTTGGAAGCCTCCTCGCCGCCGTTTCTGAGAAGGTACCGAAGTACTCAAGATTTACGCTTCACTATGTTTTATTTCAGGCCGGGTAGGGGTAGAGAAGAATGTGGTACAGCATGAATATCCTAATTCCTATATGTGGTGAGCACTGGCGGCCTCCGCTTCTTAGCGGAGGTTTGCCCTTTCCAACTGTTCAGAGACACGCGGCGGGGAAGCGCTCTGGGAACCGGGGACTGAATCTATGCAGGATTCACTTCTCTTGCTCAGTAGTTTACGAAGAGCTCTTAATAAAATTTAAGGTAATTGGTTTTTTTTTCCAGAAGCCTCAGGTGGAGTCAGTGAGATTATTTACTAGGAGATCCATAGGGATAGTTGTATGCATGTAATGTACAGGGTCTAGATTTGTAAGAACGGGCACACGTGTCAAAGTAAGATTAAACAATCACTATTTTATACCTGGGTTTCTTGGCATGTTGCACCAGAATAGGAAAGTTTCTAAAGTGACAGAAACATTCTAATAGAATTCCAGGGAGGAGGGAAGCCAACATCTGTAACACCAAGAATCAACTATTCCTGAAAGTTCAGATTATATCTTGAGGGACACAAAAGAAGTGAATGGAGGGAATTTCTAAAGTAGGAGGAATCTAAATCATAAACATCTTCTGTATTATAAAGCAAATAGATACCAATAGAAACTGTGCCAGTGATGTAATAATACATTTGCATTGTGTTGGAAAAAAAAGAAAAAAAAGCACTGAAGTCCTACTTAATTAATAGAGCCTTAGAAATGCTTAAAATTTTTTCTTAGAATTGTTTCGATGTTATCCGACTTTCCCTAAAAGTCAAATCGAGATCAGAAATCTTAATACACCAAGGTATGTTCTGTGGTTCCCATGGCTAGATCCCAAACTCCATAACTGTGCTATTTTACATTGAAAACACATATTTTACAATAATCAACCTGAAGGATAGTGACATCTTGAATCTTCTAAAAATAATTTATCTGTATTTCCTAATTATCAAGAGGAAAAAAGTGTAATAATATTTTGGGGGGAAAAGGCCAGGCGCAGTGGCTCACACCTGTAATCCCAGCACTTTGGGAGGCTGAGGTCAGGAGATCAAGACCATCCTGGCTAACATGGTGAAACCCCGTCTCTACTAAAAACACAAAAAAATTAGCCGGGCATGGTGGCAGGGGCCTGTAGTCCCAGCTACTTGGGAGGCAGAGGCAGGAGAATGGCGTGAACCCGGGAGGCGGAGCTTGCAGTGAGCCGAGATCGCGCCACTGCACGCCAACCTGGGCAACAGAGCCAGACTCTGTCTCAAAATATATATATATATATGTGTATATATATATATGGGGGAAAAAAACCCAGTAAGCAAAAGTTAAAACAAAATTTTGTATTATTCCTTAATTAACCACAACATTCTATTTCCCATAATACCTATGTAATCTAAGCATTCTATCAAGATTTACCGTATATAAATTCAACATTTTATTATAATCACAGTAATAGACTATTCACTTTGTCTCATGCATAGCCTTTGGTTTTTTTTTCTTTTTTTTTGGACGGAGCCTTGCTCTGTTACCAGGCTGGAGTGCAGTGATGTGATCTCAGCTCACTGCAACCTCTGCCTCCCAGGTTCAAGTGATCCTCCTGCTTCAGCCTCCCGAGTAGCTCAGACTACAGATGTGCACCACCATGCCCAACTAATTTTTGTATTTTTGGTAGAGATGAGGTTTTACCATGTTGGCCAAGATAGTCTTGACCTCTTGACCTTGTGATCTGCCCTCCTTGGCCTCCCAAAGTGCTGGGATTACAGGCATGAGCCACTGTACCCGACCCCAGGCATAGCCTTTGAATAATCTCTGTTTTTATTCTTTTTCTCTCGTAGCTTTCTTCCCCCATATTCAAAGATTCAATAAGTAACACCCAAAACTAAATAACTAGGCCTGAATGGCCAGGCATGTTGGCTCATGCCTGTAATCCCAGCACTTTGGGAGGCCGAGGCGGGCAGATCACGAGGTCAGGAGTATGAGATCGCCTGGCCAACATGATGAAACCCCATCTCTACTAAAAATACAAAAATTAGCCAGGCGTGGTGACACATGTCTGTAATCCCAGCTGCTCGGGAGGCTGAGGCAAGAGAATTGCTTGAACCCAGGTGGTGGAGGTTGCAATGAGCCGAGATCTCACCACTGCACTCCAGCCTGGGCGACAGAACGAGACTCCATCTCAGGAAATAAATAAATAAGTAGATAATAAATAAACGGGCCTGACCTAATTTTATTTCTGATTTTCAATTTCAAACCGGGAATTTATTTTTATTTTTATTTTATTTTTTTTTTTTTTTTGAGACAGAGTCTGGCTCTGTCACCCAGGCTGGAGTGCAGTGGCGCGATCTCGGCTCACTGCAAGCTCCGCCTCCTGGGTTTAGGCCATTCTCCTGCCTCAGCCTCCCGAGTAGCTGGGACTACAGGCGCCCGCCACCTCGCCCGGCTAGTTTTTTGTATTTTTTAGTAGAGACGGGGTTTCACCGTGTTAGCCAGGATGGTCTCGATCTCCTGACCTCGTGATCCGCCCGTCTCGGCCTCCCAAAGTGCTGGGATTACAGGCTTGAGCCACCGCGCCCGGCCAAAAGTGAGACAATTTTATTTTTATTTTTATTTTTTTTGTGGTAGAGTCTCACTCTGTTGCCCAGGCTTCAGTGCAGTGGCACAGTCTCAGCTCACCTCTCCACCTCCCAGGTTCAAGCGATTCTCCTGCCCCAGCCTCCCAAGTAGCTGGGATTACAGGCGCATGCCACCACACCCAGCTAATTTTTGTGTTTTTAGTAGAAACAGGGTTTCACCATGTTGGCCAGGCTGGTCTCAAACTCCTGACCTCAGGTGATCCACCCACCTCAGCTTCCCAAAGTGCTAGGATTACAGGTGTAAGGCACCGCACCCAGCCTCAAACTGGATATTTCTTTTTTCTTCTTCTTTGTTTTTTTTTTTTTTTTGAGACGGAGTCTCACGCTGTTGCCCAGGCTAGAGTGCAGTGGCGCGATCTCGGCTCACTGCAAGCTCCGCCTCCCGGGTTCCCGCCATTCTCCTGCCTCAGCCTCCCGAGTAGCTGGGACTACAGGCGCCCGCCACCGCACCCGGCTAATTTTTTGTATTTTTAGTAGAGACGGGGTTTCACCGTGGTCTCGATCTGCTGACCTTGTGATCCGCCCGCCTCGGCCTCCCAAAGTGCTGGGATTACAGGCTTGAGCCACCGCGCCCGGCCTTTTTTTTTTTTTTTTTGAGAGAAGTCTTGCTCTTGTCCCCCAGGCTTGAGTGCAATGGCTCGATCTCAACTCACTGCAACCTCTGCCTCCTGGATTCAAACGATTCTTATGCCTCTGCCTCCCGAGTAGCTGGGATTAAGGCACCCGCCACCAAGCCCGGCTAATTTTTGTATTTTTTAGTACAGACGGGGTTTCACCATGTTGGCCAGGCTGGTCTCGAACTCCTGACCTCAGGTGATCCACCCGCCTCGGCCTCTCAAAGGGCTGGGATTACAGGCGTGAGCCACTGCACCCGGCCTAAACCAGGTATTTCTTTTTTTTTTTTTTGAGACGGACTCTCGCTCTGTCACCCAGGCTGGAGTGCAGTGGCCGGATCTCAGCTCACTGCAAGCTCCGCCTCCCAGGTTCACGCCATTCTCCTGCCTCAGCCTCCCGAGTAGCTGGGACTACAGGTGCCCACCACCTCGCCCGGCTAGATTTTTGTATTTTTTTTAGTAGAGACGAGGTTTCACCGTGTTAGCCAGGATGGTCTCGATCTCCTGACCTTGTGATCCGCCCGTCTCGGCCTCCCAAAGTGCTGGGATTACAGGCTTGAGCCACCGTGCCCAGGAGTGCAGTGGCATGATCTCGGCTCACCACAACCTCTACCTCCTGGGTTCAAGTGAGTCTCAGCCTCCTGAAGAGCTGGGACTACAGGCGTGTGCCACCACGCCGGGCTATTTTTTTTGTATTTTTAGCAGAGATGGGGTTTCACCATGCTGGTCAGGCTAGTCTTGAACTCCTGACCTCGTGATCCACCTGCCTTGGCCTCCCAAAGTGCTGGGATTACAGGCATGAGCTACCGCGCCCAGCCCAAACCTGGTATTTCTAAATAAATTCATCAGTCTCTAAACTTTATCAGTTATTTTTTCAGTTCAAACTTGAATCATTTTAATGGTTTTGTGAATTAATTCCTTCTAAACAACTACCAAAGTAATTTTTCTAAAAACAGTGCTTTAGGCATTACATATTCTATTATCCAAAAACTTTCAATTATTTGAAATACCCACACAGTTTAAGTCATACACCAGTACTTCTCAGCCTGTTTCTTACCTACTGCATAAATCCTCCATTCCAGTCAGACGGTTCTGCTGTCATCCTTTTTTTTTTTTTTTTTTTTTTTGAGACAGAGCCTTGCTCTGTTGCCCAAGCTGGAGCATAGTAGCTCAATCTCGGCTCTCTGCAACCTCCACCTCCTAGGCCCTGGCAAACCTCCCAAGTAGCTGGGACTAGAGGCATGTGCCACCATGCCCAGCTAATTTTTGTATTTTTTGTAGAGACGGGGTTTGTTGTTTTTTTTTTTTGAGACACGTCTCACTCTGTTGCCCAGGCTGGAGTGCAGTGGTGCAATCTCGGTTCACTGCAACCTCTGTTTCCTGGGTTTGAGCAATTCTCCTGCCTCAGCCTCCCAAGTAGCTGGGACTACAGGCACCCGCCACCATGCATGGCGAATTTTTGTATTTTTAGTAGAGACAGGGTTTCACCATGTCAGCCAGGCAGGCCTCAAACTCCTGAGCTCAAGCAATCCACCCACCTCTGCCTCCCAAAATTCAAGGCATGAGGCACCATGCCCAACCTGCTGTCATCCTTAGCTATGTCGCTTGCTTGAGATGACCTTCCCCCGACTGCCCCCCTTTCACCTTCATAGCGTATTATTTAAGAACTAGTTAAGGCCGGGCGTGGTGGCTCATGCCTGTAATCCCAGCACTTTTGGAGGCTGAGGCGG